GCTCCTAATAAATGTCATTACAGAAAATCTAACTGCTCATTTTAAATCAATACTTTTACTTTTAATACTTAAGTACAAAAATATCAGATACTACTTTTAATCAAGTAATATTCCTAAAGGAGACTTTTTTACCAAAGTATTTTTTGGGAAAGATACTTGTGCTTTTACTCAAGTATCATTTTGTGGTACTTTATACAACACTGCTTTTAGGCCATTTGTCCAAAATGAAATAAAAACTCCTCTCTTTTCTAACTTTATGTGCATCACTGTTAGCAATATATCTCATGAAAAAGTGGATTGGTTTTAATAAGACTTTCAAGGAGAAAAATCACAGGTTAGCCTACAAATGTCTACATAATGCAGGTTTCTGCAGAACATGAAGAGGTGATTTAATCACTGATTCAAGTGTTTTGGAGCAGAGGAACAAGTAAAACACGCAGGACTGAACACCCCTGACCCAATAAAATACCATATGCATTTCTTCAAGGAATGGGTCTTTAATTGTGTGGCCCTTGTTGTCCTCAAAGCAGGTCGTGTCATGTTCAGCATGCCTCTTTGGAACAGGAAGTTGTGGTTTGTGGTTTACACCACATGGTGACAAAGAGAAAACGTACATTGTGTACAGCACGGCTGCACGTTCAGGGTGTAAACAAAACAAAGGTTTGGGCTGTGTTAACGTGAAGAAAGGTGTGTTTTTTATGAGAGCAATTAGACTAATTCAGTCCTGGACCTCTGCCTTGTACAGCCCACAAACACAGGGCATCAGACGGATGAAATATTCAGAGGGTTTTTTTTCCAAATGTAGAAATAAAACTTTTATTTTGACCTTATAATTGACCTTCAGTTGTTCAGAGCTGCTGACCACCTGTCTGTGTGTCTGTCTGTACATCCAAACAGGAGGCATGACTGAGGAAGAAAAGGAAAGCAAAGGTGATCAGAGCTCCACGTGTGTTCCTTCAAGGCCGTCAGTAACTCTCTTATCACAAGAAGCTCACACCAAGAGGATCTGGGAGTTTTCTGCTTTAAGACTTTTAAAGACTTTCACCAGTTATGTGTTGAAGTCTAAGAGAGTTACAGTCACAAATGAGGCCTCCCTTCATTAACTTCACCTCCCCCCTCGGCCTCTTTATTCAATTATATCTTAGATTTAGAGCCATCACAAAGAATTGACCAAAACTCCAAGAAGCCAGTAAGATTTCTTCTACATCTTAGATTTTGAGAAATGAAGACATGAAGTTTTCCACCAGTGATGACTTATGGTGTTTTTTGTTTTGTTCTTGAATAAGGTAATTTGAGTTTTATTTTGTTTGTAATATTCCTGTTCAGATGTTGGTGTTTTTGGTTCAGTAGCCATTATATTTCTTGAGACAGAAATTTATTTCATGTTTAGACTGATTATTAGTTTGGATTTGCTGCTCCTTTGAGGACCAGTTCTGTTGATAACTTTGCTGCCATGAAAAAAAATCTGTATAAAAAACAACACAGAGCATAAAATAGCAGCACTGCCTTTTATGCAAAAAGATATGTCTGAGAAATAAATTTAGGAATGCTGCATTACCCAAAACCTTAGCTGTTTTTAAACCGATTCAGTTCAGTTCAAGTAATATGTTCTTATTTTCATCTCATCATAAAATACAGTTAAAAGTTCTGCTGAAGGAAAAGTAGTTCCTGAGGATCCACCGCCATCATGTGGTGACGAGGTGAACAGAGGTCCCCTGGATCCTGTTAAACTGTTTTTGAAAAAAGATTTAACAAAAAATAAAAAAATTAATATATTGATTCTTCTCCCAGAATTTAATCCTATTTTTAAGTCTGGTCTGGACTGGTGCTGATGACCCACCTTGACCTATGGACTGATCCAGAATAAAGTTTTTATGTTACAGAGATCAATCAGTTCCAGTTTAAATGAGCTTTTTGAGCACAGTAAAAACAAATGGTTCAAATTCTACTAGTGGAGTTACATAAATG